AGGAGGCAGAGCAGTGATCGGACTGTGCCACCTGGTGCCACTGAGCCAGTGTACCCTCGCCCGCGAGGGAGAAGCGGCAGTTGGACCTAGGTGACCTCTTGTGCTCTTGGGCCAGTCAGGCCTTGGTCGCTAAACGACCATCGAGGTAACCGTGAGAAGGCATATTTTAAAGCCATTCCGACCGGCCCGCACGCAACCAGACTCAAGAAGACCACCTGACAGTGCGCTGAGCAACAGGGCATACTGCTATAGGTCCCTATAGATTGCAGAGCATCTGCCAAGTGAATGCCTATTTGTTAACCATGAAAGAAAAATCCGCACCCATGGATCAAACAATCGGAGCTGACCAATCGTGTGGTGCGGACTCATGACAAATATAAAGTCATGTGACTGGCGTTTCAAGATTGAAACGTACTGAGGAAGGGTAATCTTGTTAGACATGTCAAAAGACTTTGGCATGGGTCCCTGCCTGGCCGGGACTGAGGTGATGAAGTTCACCTCTCTATTCTACACAAGAACAACCTACACGAGTGGGAGCATTGTGCCGCCCTGCGACACGCCGGTAGGACTTGGTGAAACACACAGTGCGTTTCGGAAAACGCAACCGAATACCTCCGATCACGGCTCAACCAACCTGTGGATGAACATTGACAACAGAAGATTGACTGGGGGTTCGAAAGGGCACTCAAACCCGATCAAATCGGTGCGGACATCGGCTATCCGTCTCAAAAAACCGTACCACTCCACATGTTGCTTTTATATGAAAATAGAAAATAATTTTTGTATCAAATACAATACGTTTGTCACTCCAATCTTTTTAACTAAACTATATACGAATAAAAATATACTATTTAAGTCAATCCAGAAAATTACGACATTGTCTTATATATTTGAGTACATTTAAAAAAAAAAAAATCCGTTTTACATTATACTACCTATTATATATTTATTATCATAATAAGTTAATTTAGATAATTCTTGAATAGTTAAGTTACATAATTATAGTATTTAATTATTAGTGTAACATGTCAATATAATTAAATTAGTACAATATTCATATGGAGTTGTATGTTTATCTGAAAAATAAAATAAAATAACACTTTATTTAATTTAGTTTTTCAATTATGGACTAAATACATTATTATATTAAAGTAGCAATTAATAGTTTATTTTCGTATGTACGCAAGGTGTCTACGAGTATTTACCCATTGTGATATCTTTCAAGATAATAAATACATCATAAAACTATTTTTTTTATAACTCACAACTTTTTTGGTTAAATAGAAAGTTATAACAATTATTTTTTTTTATTTTTGAAACAATTGAATAAATCCATTTTATAGAATTTATTTTTGTGAAAATTTTGACTTTTCAACATTTTATTTTCATAATTCTCATGATTTTTAATATTTTTTTTAGTTTATAGGTAAAAAGGCAAAAACTAGTTTTTGTCCTTGCAGCTCTACAGTTAATGGGTAAAGTTACAATAAGTATAGTTAACACTGTATATAACTATATAAGCATATTGGTACCTAGTTTACTATGTGTGAGTTGTATGTATTATAATCGGTTTACAAATTATTAATTTTTTTATCGATTAAAGAAAATGCGCAATTAAATTTAAAAGATTTGATTTGATAGCTATTTAAGATTTGAGAATTTTTTATACTATTAAAATGGTTTTTTAGTAAAAATATGAAATTTTTAAACAATTAAATGAACCCATAATATTTTCATTATTATTTTTTGAGAATTTGAGAATAAATTTATATTTTGTTTAATATATTGGCTATTCTATGAATTTGAATAAACTTTACAAGTATTTACATGTATTTTATGTAATAATATATTTTAAATATTGTAACTTACAAGGTGCTATAAATCACAACAAAAATGAAATTAGTCTAATTGAAATACATGGGTCTAATCATAGAAACTTTGAATCAAAACTGTTCAAACATCATTAAACTAGTTTGAAAAATCTTTCATCTGTACACAAACAATAAAAATACAAGGTGTAACAGGAAGGTCTGATACAATTAATTTATTTAAAAAAAAATATTGATATTTAAAAAAATTCCGAAAAATAAACTAGATACCTACTTGACTTATAGAGATATGTATTTCAAATTTTTTTCTATAATAAGATTAATAAATTGGCTATTTTTAATTTTTCTAAAAACTTTAAATCAAATTTTTGTAAAATCCGTGTAACAAAAGTGACTATAAATTATATAATATGGATATACCTAAACAAATAAGAATAAAAATATTGATTGGAACAAAAGTTATTTTATCTTTCAGATCTTCATGTTACCTCCTGTATATTATATTATGGAGGTAATCAAATTGAGCTTAAGCTAAATATTAATCATCTTTATTAATATTTGGTAGGTATTTTATATTATTAATGTAATATTTACCAACTTTGCACTACTATTTTTTTAAACTTTAACATCCATCTGGTCCATCTAATACAAAAATACAGAATTAATTATTATGATCTAAAACTAAAATATTTCTTACTATACTCGGGCCACTCTAAGAGCGCTTCTGGGCGGAAACCAAAATTCGTTCGTTCTCGCGCATTCCCACCACTAAACTCTTCAAAACACTAGCCGCTGTTAACGCGAGCCTCCGACACCGTCGCTGCCAGCGTTGCCGTCGCTGCTCCCACTCACCTACGCCACCGCCGACCGGGAAACGGTGACAGTGCTTGTATACAGAGCGTACTAAAGTGTTCTGATTCTTTTTTACGTTCTTGAATACACAAACAACATTTTGGTTTTTTGCGCTCTAAGTTTGTTTACATACTTTTTGCGTGTCTTAACACACCGTTATTTTTTCATTTTTTACGGTTTTTTTTAAAAAAAAATACAACATGGACTTCGCAGATGCGTATAATGCGTTTGTATTATTATTTTTCTAATGCAAAATTTTAATTTTAAAATATCGATTTTTTTCTTTAGTATATTGGCTCTGGTCAAAGGAAAGTGGTCGTTAATCTGTACAACGCTTTAGTTAAAAGAGAGCTTGAAAATCCAGACAGCCCCCGGTTGACCTTCAGACAAACGATCGTCGACATTTCAAAATCAACGGGTCTCGGACAACGCACAGTGCAAACAACGTTGTCGGAATATAAAAATCAAGGTACAGTTTCGTCACCTAACAAGCAGAGAAAAACACCTGCAGTAGTTGATAAAATTGACGAATTTGATAAAAATGCAATTCGGCTATTAATACACAATTTTTGGAGGAGACGTGAAGTGCCAACAATTAACACATATACTCAATAATATTGGCCCAGCCCAAAACTAAGTTATATTAGTTATTTAGTGTCTTAACATGTTGTATTTGATATGCAAAGAGGAAATTAATTTTGTTTCAAAAACTATACCTATGTTACCCTAACCTTATTACCGCACCAGGAAAACGATATTATTTAAGTCAATCCTGAAACTTATGACATTGTCTTATTTATTTTGGTATATTTTTTTCGACAAAAAAAAACCCCATATTAAATTATATTACCTATTTTATATTTATTATCATTATAAGTAAATTTAGACAATTCTTATATAGTTAAATTATATAATAATATTATTTATTTATTAGTGTAACATGTCAATATAATTAAATGAGTACAATATTCATATGAAGTTGTATGTTTACCTAAAAAATAAAATAACAATTGATTTAATTAAAATTAATTTACTAAAAAAAAATATTGGTCCATAAAAAAATTCTAAAAATAAACTAGGTGCTTGAGTTAGGGATATGTTATATATCATCAAAATTTGTTTTTATAATAAGATGCAAATTTTTATACCATACGTGTAACGCATGTGACTATAAATTAATTAATATATACATATAAAAATAAAAATAAAAATATTGATTACAACAAAAGTTATTTTATCTGTTAGGTCTTCCTGTTACATCCTGTATATTATAAAGTAGATAATCATATTGGATCTAAGAGGACGCGATATCCGCATGTATTGTCACCGTCTTACAAGTGCGTAACATAGCAAATTCTACGCAAAGCAGAACACGTGTAGCTCCTTTAGTTTAAAAATTAGAGTGAATTGACCTCTTATAAAATCTAAAGGTAAGATTATTATCTAGACAACTAATTATATTTAAATTTTTAAGCGAGCTATGCATATTTTAAAAATTGTAAATTGTTTATAGATCTTAAAGTACTCATAACTAGCCTAAAAATAAAAATATTATAAGAGCCCATGATGTTGTTTTGATAGTAATATTACTTTTAGATTTTATAAGAGGTTAATTTACTCTAATTAGTAGTGATTTTTAAATTACCGGAGTTATTATACGTGTATTGCTGAGCCTAAAATTTGCTATGTTATGCACTTGTGAGACGGAGACAACCATGCGGGTATCACGTCCACTTAAGCTAAATATTTATCAACTTCTTTTTTAATATTTGGTAGGTAGTTTATAGTATTAATTTAATATTTACATACATTGCACTACTATCGTTTTAATTTCGACATCAATCTGGTCTATATAATACGAAAATACACAATTAATTATTATGATCTAATACTAAAATATTATTTTCTAGTACTTACCAAACTATAAGGGCCTATGCTGAACTTTGTACAAAATGCTGATGTTGTTTTAAAGAAGTCTTTGAAAAAAATAAAAATAACAGTTTAATTAAATTACATTTTTTAAATTTTAGTTGCATATAATTTATAGTACTTAAAGGATCATAGTTTTAGAGTATATATATTATAATTTATAATATTATAATAATAATACATATTTTTAAACGTGTGACCGTTACGTTATATTGTTTTGAAATCAGTTTAATAATTACCTCCTTCTTTACTCGTAGGCGAATAATGAAGAACAAACATTAGCAGTGGATCTGAAATAATTTTAATTATGTTCAAGTAAGTGTTTATTTTACCTTATTTATAAATGTCAAATTTTATATTTGCATAGATAACTGTATTATATGCAGTAAACTAATGTACATGCATTATAATGACATTAAACATCCAGTTATAATTATTATATATCATTGACAAAAACAACTTACATTTATCATGTTCATCTTTCTTCAGTTTCTCATCTAATAAAACATATAACATAAGATATAATCCTACACTGCTTAATTCATTTTATTAAAGTGTATGTAAGTAATAAAACAACGGGAAGGAATATAACAGACGAGTGGTGCTTGGTACATTAATATCATGATGTGTAATATTATTTTAATAATAATATGGTGAGATGTATCGAATATCTATGTATCGAACTAATTACACCACGGACGAAGAAAAGTGTACACTAACATTAACTATAATCTGTTCAGCGAGAGACCGTACTGCTAACCGATGAAAACTGGTTCCCCCACGTAATACCCTGCCATAGGGGAACTTGTTCCGATAGCATGGTGACTTGGATAGATGCTCAGAATTGGTGTGCAGATATTAGGTACAGCCGCAGATAATAATTTTATACTTTTTGTCAGTTTTTGAATGATTGGTAATTCACATTTATCAATTAATAATTAAAAATACATCGTAATCATAAGTTATTTGATTAAGCTATATACCACAAATGATACGGAAAATAAGAGCCATACGGGATACAACACGTTGGTGTTTATAAAAATAATCATATAATCGGACAATATTATATTTAGTTCAAAGAATAAAATTAATGTTCATGATTTATAATATGTCTTGTCACAAATTTAAAACTATTTTTCTAAATTTTTTTGGATGGATATAAAATACAAATAATACGTATTTGAATACTTTTAAAAAAAAGTATTTAAAATAGTATTCAAATACAAAAAAAAGTATTCAAATACTTTTATTTGAAGACTTTGCAAGACTGCACAAAAGTGTACGTAGGTATAAAATAAAACAACTGGGAGGAACATGAAAGGTTAGCTGTGATTGTAATATTATTATTATGATGATTTGTAATATTTTAATAATAATATGGAGAGATGTATTGAAAATCTATGTATCGTACTAATCACAGCACGTAGAAAAAAACAGTACACTAACATTAACTACCTACATATTAGGTACAGCCACGGATAATTATTTTGGGGTAAAAAGAGTTTTTTACAACTACTTGTAAACTACATCATTTCTACTTCTATACTATTGTTAGTACGTGTGATCGTTATATTACTAATAAAGTATACAACAAGACTATAATTTATTATATACCATCTCATACTGAATTAATTCCCTCTTCCCTGATGCAGAATTATAATAATAAAGTATATTAATTTATTATCAAATAATATAATGCAATACGTACTACATTTTTATAACTATTTAATAGCCGGTAAGTAGTCATGTAAACTTACTCAATACATCTATTTGGGCTTGAAACTCGTCTTGGTTCCCCTTCTGAAGGAAATCATTTACTATAAAAGTATATATTTTTATAAATTTCAGTTTGTTACTGTTTTTATATTTTGTTATAATCAACTATACACAAATGTAATAATTACGACATAAAAATCATACAATAATATTTTAAATACAAATTTAACATAATGTAATGTAGTATGACCATAATAGTTTTCTAATCGAAATTAAATTCTAATACAAATTACAAAATACAAATTATATTCTGTCTGTACAAGCAATTTTTTACTCTACACTAAAACCTATAAATAGTATCAGCAATAAAGTGGATTTAGATCAGCTATGGGAGACTTCGTAGTAGTCAAATATATACGTTATATGAACATATTATAATTTATATAAAAGTGACTGAAACATATCTTAATTAAATAGGTATATCGCTAGAACCATTATATTCAATCCAAAAATAACTCACACCAAAGAATATACAGAAATTCAAGAAAAACCAAAAGTATTATATACTACGACATATTATATGTTTATATTAATGCATATCATACTAGGTTAGGCATATAATAGAACAACCAAGAGAAATGTGAAAATATCGTAGTACTTGTAATATTATTACACTTTTAATAACTATAGGGAGATCGGTATAATATTCTGAATATCTGCATTGTACAAACACACCACATATGAACGTCCGGTTAGTGTGTGTGTCGTGCCACATCTCGTTCCCATGAGGTATAGACCAACGCATTTAAATATTATATTTTTGTTGTGATTTTGGGTGCCTTGTAAGTTATGGTATTTATTATACTATTAATTAAAATTCATGTACATCAAAAATTAATATTCATGAAGAATAAACAATAAATTTAAAAAAGAAACGTATTCATTTACTAACATTAACTCGGGTACAGCCGCACATAATTGCAGTCTAAAGAGATTTTAATAACTACCTACCTCATACTGCATAGGTATATCTTTTTACAATTATTATAACATGTGATCTTTAGATAACAAAGAAATGCAACGAGAATACAATTTAATATATATTATTTCTTGCTTTAATATTTATTTTTAATACAGATTTTATTGTATAAAGAATGTGTGTTTGGATATTTGGATTAACCATTGTAATATAATTAATCATACTACTAAGTATTCATTATACCGAATTTTAATTTGTATAACCATAGTATATGTTATAAAATATTTAATTGTAACACGATATGTGCATGCATACTTACAGAAGTCTTTTCTAAAATTCGCAAGTGCTTCATCAGTTTCAAACTGAGTATCTATAAAAAAGATAAATTAAAATATATGTATATAAATCACAGTTTATTATTGTTTGTATAATTTAATAATATAATCTACTACTAATACTTTTGTACGTACATACAACATATAAATATAAAATCATATTAAAATTATTAATTTAGCATAATGAATGTATGACACTCTATTTTCCCTATTTACTAATAATGTTTCAAATATATATCACTTAATTCACTTGATGTATGGAGTGTAAAAATCACAATAACTGCTCGATGTGGCGGATAATAAGTCAATGATATTCCACTAGGAATCAAAGTTAATCGAGAATCAAATTGCCCATAGGTTGAAACGGTTTACGACGTAAAATCGTGCCACTGTTCCTTAAAAATATGAACGTGTTGGTTTTAAAAGCCCGAAAGTGGTGTCTGTTCACAAGGTCCGTTCGGGTTAGTATGGCTTAAGCAAGTGCGCTATGGGGGAGTTAATTTGTACCCTAGTCCTGAAAATAATGGTTTTTAATTATTCAGTTATACCCGGATTAGGTAGTCCAAATTTTTATCTTTTGAACGAGGAAGTGTCTGAATGACATTGTCTATGGTGCTTGTAATTGGTTATCCGCTTCTCAGGATTGATTAACCTTGAACGCTTTTTAATGCTGTCGGAAGCGACAGATACTTTTCTATACTCCAGTGATCGGTGGCTATCTGCGGCTGATCGTCGTTCAGCCAGTTTCCTCTTGATTCAAATCCTTCTGTCCTTCTGTCATGCCTTTTACTTTTGAATGAGTCTTGCTATGATGGATTTATAAGACTTTAAATAATCGATGACAGCGTAATTTGATTAAAGGGGTGGAGATCTTCGTATCTTTCTTATGTGGGCGAAATATTGAGCATTTCTATAAAAGATCTTTGTCACCATCCCAGCTTCCTTGTGTAGTGGAATTATGGATAGACTTAGAATTTCGTTCTTATTGGAAGTGGGCACTTGTGACGATTAGGACAGTCACGTTTTGTACAGCCTCGATGTTGCTAAAGTTCAACTCGCTAATTACTTTGCCCCAAGCTGTGTCATATGGAAGGAAAGGTTTTATGTAGATTTTGAATATAAAGAGTTTAGTTTGCATCGGGATGTGTGATTTCCTATTCATAATCGGGTAAAATGCTGCTCTGGCCCTCTTATCTCTTAGGACACAAGTCTCGGCATGTTGATATAGATGAAGTGCTTCATCGATTGATACGACGAGGAAAGTATTTTTAGTTTTCCATGCCATTGGAGTTTATTGTAATCGAACTTAACGACTGGGTGCTTTGCGACCGTGTTCCCAAAGAGTACTAATACTGTTTTCTGGGTGTTTAGTTTTAGGCACAATTTTGAGTTCTAGTCAGATTAGAATAGACTTGACTGCCGAAACCCTTGTATGTAGCCAGAATTTCCTTATTTACCGTTTGGTAGTAATCTCTAGTAAAATCTAAGTTAGAATTGGCTTGGTGCTATGGGTTTTATTGGAAGAATATAAGCGTTCATAACTGATTGGATGGCTGAGGTAGTTTATAATCAATTTCCGTTATAATTTAGGAGATTTTTTTTTTTTAAACTTCCCCTTTTTCTCTATTTCTCAGGAGCTGGAGGGTTAACTGTTACATGGGAGTTGCATGTGGTTATTACTACCCAATTGTGGTCTGATGTCAATTAATTATCATTAGTAAGGCTGACTTCGCTGTGGGGAAGGTTTACTAGCTCAATATCTAAAACTTCGGGGAGGTTAAGTGGGCTGTATGACTGAACTGTTAGAGAGTCTAAGTGACAAATGCGTAACTGGGCAGAAACTCCATACAGAACGTCTATTATTTTATTGAGACTCTCGAACAATTTTGTATTTCATGAACATCTAATTCATATGGCAGTGATTAAATTAATATTTAAAAAAATAAATAAGCATTAATACTATTATCCAACTTCGTGTTACTAACATTATTTCACTTATCATATAAAGGGTTATTACTATTAATAAAATTGCATAACGGAACAATTACAATACTAATTTTGTGGTAGGAGATAGATATGAACTTACATTGTAACAATTTAGGGATCTTTCTGCGTATTATGTATTATTAATACATATTTGATTGTATGATTAGTTCGTATTTTTATATGTACTTATAACCTATTGTAATATATTTAATCATCTATATGCAAGCGCACTATACATTATAAAAAATAAAAATATAACACTAAGTGAAAGTAACTTTTAATGTATTCTTACTGTTAACAGTTGGTACAATTTCGCCGTTTTCATTATTTACGGTTTCGATCTTATATGATTGATCTATTAAAGAATAAATTATATTACATATAAATATCAGTTTGTTATTGATTTTCTTTATGATACTCAACAATGTTTCCAAATTCATTATGAGGCAATAAAAATGAAACATTTTTTTATGAATCATAACTCGATAGCCCCTATCGGTGATATAAACATTTTAAGTCAATGGCCAAGTCAGTTGCAACACAAAACTGCTTATAATTATTGATACTATTTTGAATAGTCGACTCGCATGAGTCATACTTATAATACAATATATCAAATCCTCATTGAACAATCCACTTATTATAGATACTAAAAATATTATTTTACATATCATATTCAGGACCCTCAAACATACTAATTAAAATTCATAAATAAATTACAAAATAGAAATTAAACTATGAACCAATTTTGTACAAACTAGCTTCTTATTGTAGAATAAAAATAAATAAATATAGCCAACAAAAGTGAATTAATATCAGCTAAAGGATCCTACCGAATTGTTATTATATAAACGTGGCCAATGAACAAATACCTGATATATAATGGACTTAAATATACCTTAAATACATGATTAAAACAATTAGATTAAACAATACCCCTACAAGAAAAGGAAATACATAAATTCACGTAAAACTAAAAGTGTTATATAGACTCATAATAAAACATATTATTAGAAAATAGAAGGTAATAAAACTACAGGAAGCTTTATGAAATACTTGTAGTCCTTGTAATATTATTGCAATTTTTTTAAATGTGGCAATAATAATATGGAGAGGTATGATACTGAATATCTGTATTGTACAATTCCTACAACGTATCAAAAAATAGTGTACTATCGTTAACTATATAGGGTAACTTGTATAGTTATTGGCACAAAGTAATTTTGTTTTACGTATATAAAATGTTTGATTATGAATTTTAGAGATATTTTTTTTTGATTATACGGTCATATTGATACTGTTTTATTATCAATCTTAATGTTATCATAATATTAATTTGATAATTTGCTATTTGATTTCGTAATGGAGCAGGTTAGGAGACAATAGCTATCAAAAACGAAGTCTTAAGGTGCCAATAACTATACATGTTACCCTAGTAGGTTTAGTCGCTCTAAAAATATTTTAAAATCTATCGTTTATCGTTCTAAGATTGATAGTACGTTATATTACTGAGAAATACTACAGTAATGCAGTTTATCATATGGTTTTTTCATAAAGAATTTTTCCCCTCTACCCTGATAATAATACATGTACTAAATGTAAAGTTTTATTCAAATAACCAAATGTAATAATATAACAGTCCTTATAGTTACTATGTGTTAGCCTATATGTATGCATTTACATTAGAACAACCTGAGTATTGCTTTACGTATTATCATTAATACCAACATAATATTTGATTATATCACTAATACGTATTTGTATTACCTTATTTTAATATATTTAATCATCAACAATCAATATAATATACATTATAAAATATTTAAATAAACCATTATAAATAACTACCGACTAATTATATACTTACAGAATCGATTAATTATATTTTGAAATGTATCGTCTTCCTCTATGAAAATATAAATTATATAACACAATAAACATAGGTGAATCTCAGATTATTACTGTTTTTATATTTCATTCTAATCAACTACACAAACTTGTGAACGCAATGACAACATAAAAATATATATAATTTAGCCTGATGCAATGAAGATTGACACTCAATTGATGGATCGTATATGTAACTAAAATATTATTCTCAAATTATTAAGTACACACATCACAATGGCTATCATATGTCTAGACAAGTTAATAACATGTTTTATGGTGTCAAACATCAAAAAAGCTATGTATACGTTTTGAAAAGACAAAGTTGGTTTTGATATAGTTTTAACATTGGCAATAGTACTTTTTGGCAAAAAACTGGAAAAAGTACGTTTGAATTTTTTAAATATCATTTTTATGTATGGAAATGTTTCGTTTGAATTAACTAGCCATTTTGAATCACAAATGTGACCAGGAAGTAACACGTTTTGATCTATTTTGACGACACCAATCGATATACCGATATTTTTTTCATAAGCATCGATACCTAACTCGGTTTTGTAAATTTTGGCAATAGTACGTTTTGGAAAACCTCTCATTATGGACTGTTTGTTAAATACAAAAAACAAGTTGCAAACTTCCAGGATAATTGTATACTACTTCTCTTTTGAACAAACTCTTTATATCTTTTATATTATTAATTTTGTGCATCATCTCTGTATAGGGTACAATAAGTGCAATCAGTTGGCCGAGTGATGTCTGTACCATACCGTCATGGTTGACAGACACAGCCAGCACTTACTGTTTTGTAACAAAGTTAGTCATAATAAATTAGTGCTTTTTTATTCGTCTAAAAAATGAACTTACCAGATTTTCCTTTTATAAGTCCATTTTCAAACATTTGCTCTATAAAAGTTTAAATTATAAATAACATCAAATTAATCTATATATAAACAATTCATCCTGTACCTGTTGACTAATTTTATGTTTTTCATTGTAATGAACACAAAATATCTCACACGTAAAATATTGCTCACGACGCGCCGTCAGGCAACACCATCAACACCAATGCAGCGCGAACTGCACATGGCGGTCGCAAGAGCGCGTCGGTCCGTACTCACAAATTCCATATAAATGTTTAAGCCATTGACGCCAGTTTAAAATACCAACTACTCTACACGCACGCTAACGTATCATTAAAGTTCATACCACCAAACTATTCAATTTTCTCTAAAAGTCTTCAAATCCACAAGACAACTAACCCCCTTTTCAACCCCTAGCAGTTCATAAATTATTCGTTAGTAAAAATAACCATATGACAGCTAACATTATCCAATGGTATGTAAACGGGTTTTACAGCAAACTAGAAGAACTCCAACTAATAATCAAAGAACCCAACCCTAATTGTTCGCGCCAAGCAATTAACGCTTATCGCGGGACGCAAATCTGCTACGGCGACATCGTCTCTCTTCTTCCGTCCACTCATCCTCTCTCCTACATGCCGTTATTAATGAAAAAACGATTAGGTATTATGAATTGTATTATTGTTATATGTTTTGATTTATATTCTCTTTGTGTTTGTCTTAACAATTATCTGTCGGCCTTCTGCCTCAGATAGTACTACACTATTATCAATATTATTATATCTTTTGTTTTTGTTTACAATCTGCGGCCAACGCCCTACATTTTATTGTTCGTGCTGTGTTTTTTTGATCCGCTAGTACAGCGTCCATATATATATTTTTTCTATGATCCGCTCATATAGCGATCAAAATATTATTATTAAAATAAACATATTATACTATTGCGAATTGCTAGTACAGCGATCCGCGATTTGTATGTTTGGGTCCGCTATTAAAGCGAGCACCACCAATATTCATTTGTTATTGTATATCTTCAAGTGCACACGGTTGCCAAATTATTATTATTTATATATATATTGTGCGAATGATCGGAGCTGCAAATAAAGATACGCTGATCAAACAAAATCGTAAGTCTTTATTTATTCTATTCTCATCGTCATCCTTGGGAGTTCGTTGGTGTCAACGTCGGTGCCGTCCGGTTCTCCGCGTAAGTCCGCCAGCAACGTAGGTACATACGTTGTGTGAGAGGCCGCCCCAGGTCGTCCAGGTCGACGTACACCAACATCGTCGGTGCCGTCCGGTTCCGCGCGTAAGTCCGCCAGCAACGTAGGTACATACGTTGTGTGAGAGGCCGCCCCAGGTCGTCCAGGTCGACGTACACCAACATCGTCAGTCAGTGGGTCGTCTCAAGACTACAATAGGGTTAAGTTAGTTTTTAAGGATTATCCCTATTGTTGTGAGCTCTGTGGTCATTGCACCAAACCGAATCGGCCACAGAGACCCCCTCCCCATAACTAGCCTGCACCTTCCTCACTCCTTCGTTGGGTAGTTCTTTTCCGTCGTCGTCGGTGTCGTCGTGGTGCGTAGAATTGCCTACCCACCAAACATTAGGCGAAAGCACAAATGGTTGCCTACCTACGAAATAGTAGGCGGCAGGTGTGACATAGGCCAAACTTCTTAATCACCTCAAAAACAAATTGTTTCTCGGGCATCACCGAGTGGTCCTTCGGGTGTTACGGCCGAATTCTCGGGCGTAAACACTAATATTATATGTATAAAGAAAACCAATTTTAATACCAATAGTATCCCAATTCTACAGAATTACAACGTTTTCCAAAATCCCGTAGTTCCTGTATAAGATCCAGGGAGGGAGTAGAAACTTTGGTTTATCATAATTACCACACCGAAAAATCACACTTCTTACTGATCTTGAAGATTTCGCTCTTTCAATCACACTCCCCCATGTAACCTTAATAGTTTTTAACATTTATATACCTAACCAAAAAGAATTCACACTCCAATATATAGAACATATTATTAAGCAATTCCCCAACACGTCCATCATCGTTGGAGATTTCAATAGTCATAGCGAATCTTGGGGTTCACACAAGACTGATTCTACAGGCAAAATAATTGAAGAGCTGCTTCCAAACACAAATCTCAAATTATTAAACAATGGAAAGCATACCAGAATAAATCCCTCTAACGGACACCCGTCAACTATAGACCTCACCAACGCTTCAATATCCCATAAACTGGAATGGAACACTCTTCCCGATATTTATAGCAGCGATCATATTCCTTTAAAAGTATCGATGACCCTCCCTCTCGACAGATCAGATTTAAATTACTCTCCCATGTGGAAAACTAAAAAAGCTAACTGGGATCTATTCTAGGTGATTATGGAAAAAAATAATTCCAATTTGTAAGCCCCTCCAGAATAAACTTTAACACAGACGAACCAAATTTTACCTCCCTCATACAAGAAATCGCTAAAATTTCCATTGGTGTCTCTCTAAGTAAAAAACATAAACCCAGAGTTTCCTGGTGGAATGACCATATAAAAAAATCCATCAGAGAAAATAATAGCTCATAAGACATTTGAAACTACAAACACTCAAGAAGATTGTATTATCCTAAAAATATGTAAAACAAGATTCCTCGTAAAAAGCAACAAGACTTCCAGCTGGAAACATATTTTCGTGTCCAGCATACATAATCAAACAGACTCCTCCATTGCCAGGAAAAAAATTAAATCAATAAAAGGAACTAAGAGAACCAAGACCATACATTTACTTATAGACTCGAAATTCCCCTCTTCTCCCAAAGGGGTAACCACTTCTCTCAAACTTATTTTCAATCATAACTCCAGTTATGCTAATTATGACCACGATTTCTTAGCACACTCAAAACGTTTCATCAACTCAGTCAATATGGTAGACCTTCTCGACCTACATCAGACAATACTCAATTCCAAACTGAAGATAGAAGAACTAGAAGATGCTCTTCAAAACTATAAAATTAAAGCCCCTGACCCTGACGTTATTCGTTACTCTTTCATCAAAAACTTCCCAAAAAGCAGCACAAATCACCTCTTAGCCATTTACAATACGATATGGGACACCAACATTTTTCCCAACTCCTGGATACATGGATATGTCATTCCCATTCTCAAGCCAACAAAAATAAATTTTTTTCGGAAAGCTATCGACCTATTTGTCTCCTCAATACCTTATGAAAATTACTAGAAAAAATATTCTTTTGCTAACTCATATGGTTTCTTGAAAATTCAAATCTCCTTTCAACACATCAAAATGGATTCCAATGAAACCAAAGAACCATGAATAACCTTCTGACCATAAAAAATGATGTACGCACCTAAATACTTAACAAGCAATGCCTAGGTATGATAAGCTTTGATATTGCTAAAGCAAATGACACGGTGTTTAGAAACAGAATAATAGACAAACTCAACAAAATTATTGCCAAAGGAAACATACTTGATTTCGTATGTAACCTAACCGTTCCTTCCAAGTAAAAACTCCCAGCACACTCTCAGAGACCTTCCTAAAATGAGGCAGAGTCCCAAAAGAATCCACCATCTTCGTAAGGCTTTTTCTGATAGCTTTCAACAATATTTCTGAAGAAATAACATTCCCTAACATACCTCTGCTCTATGCAGAAGAATTTACTATTCTCTGCCGCAGTACAAACATTAATTCTATTCAACGGACACTACAAGATTAAAGAAACATACTCATGTCTAGGTCAAAGCCATCTAGCTTGTTCCTTTAAATGTTGGTATTATTTAATGTATGAATATTGTAAAATGTATTGTAACGTTCAATGGCCATAGTGGCCGCGGATTTTATGTTAAAAAAAAAAAAAAAAATGTATTTTTCATATTATTTTAAAATCAAATTAACAGACTTACAAACTTTTATAATAAACACTGTATAAATGTGATTACATTGAGCGAAACTCAATGCATTTATAAGAGCAATATGTTGTGTATATTATAAAGTAAAATAAAATTACTTACTGTAGCATCTGACTGCAAGTGCAAATTCTAAATAAGTAAATAGTATGTAAAAAATGTATTAGGTATTTTACAACCAAAATGAGTCCAAAATAGTTGACATCTAAGAGATCTTCACAACCACTGACAAACGCACATGGGTTGTAATACACTCTAGACATCCCTAATGTATTTTTACCATAGCAATTCTTTTCATTATTTTCATAGTTATAAATTACCCTAATTACTCGCTTTAAAGTTAAAATATCAAGACATAGGCATATGTTTAAGAATAATATTATTAACGTGAAGTTTGTTTTTGTATAAATTAAAATTAAAAATTAAAATTTTGTTCTGTAGAACATACATTTTCTATTATAATGTATCTACGTTTGGAAGACAAGGTCATCACATATGGTTATGGCAAAGGGACTTCTAATATTTAATATGACATTGCTAATATTGTTCTAAGCGAGAAATAATCATAATACTATGTAATAGGGTACCTACTTTTACATACGAGTAACAAAATAAATTACATATTTAAAGAACATGAATACAATATGTCTACTACAATGCCTGATGGGTATAAGCCATGAGCTCATAGCTTATAACTGCTAATGTAAATCTTAATTTAGGTGAAGAAAAAAAAATTAGCATAATATTGATATATTTATATGTTTATAGATTTTTAACTATTTCTGTTATAAATATAACGTAATTAGAAATCTCGTATATTATTTGTCTTAATAGTATGTAATAAAAAAAAAAAATAATAATGTACTCACTTCCTTTACGTTCAGGTGCTTTTAATGCATCTATATATCCAATAATATATTATGCCATAAAACATACAGTTAACATAATAATATGTTTGGGCAAGTATGTAAGTACCAACAATGGTGTTGCGATATTTTGTTCCGCGGGTTAATTTCTTCCCTTTTGAAATATTTTGTTCCGTTTTGGGATTTTTTGTTAATTTTTTTGATCCTCTTTAATATTTAAAAAAATATTAGGAATGATTTTTTGTTCCTTTAATTAAAAATCAAAAACAGAACAAAAAATCATAAAACGAAACAAAATTACCCAGTGCAACATTTTGTTCAGCGTGGATATTTTAATCGCATCTTAGGACATTTTATTCAGTTTCATGAATTATTTAAACCTTTTATAAAATTTAATAGCGGAACAAAATATAACTAAAGGACATTTTGTTCCGTTTGAAGATTTTTGTTCTCCGATTGTTTATTTTGAAAAACTAACAAAACGTCCCCAAAAAGGAACGAAATGTCCGAGGAACAAAATATCAAATTACAACCAACAATAATTTAATAATAAATTTAGCGGTAAATAACACAAAGTACGATTGATATTAAAAATGTCCGACAAGGTTAGTTACTATGAGGCCTGAGTGTTTCGCTGGGTGTCACGGAGCTGACAAACCAAGGCGCTCGTCGACGGCAGTTGCGTCCTCGACGCGACAGATAGATACTGGCTTTGAAGTTATGCTAACACCTTGCCAATGTCTCGTATACGATTGATTGCGGTAAGTGAGAATCGCAGATTGCCGACGTTAGCTCTCTCGTGCTTAAGACACTGCGTCGGATGATTACATCTCCACAAACCTCTCAGGAATACCTTCACCAATAGATGAGCCAAATTAGCTGACTGCAAGGACGTGGTTCTGGCAAGAGAGATAACACCGAGGCTGTAAGGCGCACTAAAGAATCGAGTCCTGTTACTCGGTAATCTGGATTCAGCCAACCGCTTTCAAAATACCTTGCTTTTGCAGGGTGGTCCGGCATTGTGAACCGGACCAACCTCGACTGCATCGTGCCTTCAACTGCAGAACTTCGAACGCATCAGTCCGATGGAACCGGTTAACTCAGTTAGCCGTCAAAAAGACCAATTTGTTACCGTAAGACCTAAACTATCAACGAATGGGTGGTGCTGGGTACCACATACCTGTGTAACATCGTAGTAGCGCTGGATGGAAGCTAGGTGTTGGGTGCTATGATCCGACGGTTGTCGTCGGTTGTCGATGGCTTTCGTTGATCGTAGCCTACTGGCATCCAATTGGTATATGGTTAGGTTAGGTTAGGTTAGGCCTAACATAACCTTACCTAACCTGGTGGGGTATATGGAGGGGATTCCCATGCACAGTGACCAATGAGTTTTTAATATCGTTTTCTCGTGCTTACGAGTATTTTTAATAGAAAGGACTTTCAAAGAACATATCTAATATAGTAAGCTGATACTGTGCAGTGGCGTACCATAGAATGAGGATGTATGTCAGTTGAAATAAATATAGACTTTTATGAAAATGTTAAAATCTTATTTATTATTGTTGATTCTTCAGTGAAAATTCTTCTAAATCTAAATTGACATATTTCCCATATTTAGTTAAATGATTGGTGTGAAGGTGCTTGTGTAAGCTCGGAGAAACACCTATGATTAAGTAAGAATTATTATAAGGAACTCGTTCATTTTCTAAAGGAACGAATTTTATTTTTTTTAAGGAACAAGGATTGGAACGAATTAATTTTTATAATCAACTTTAAAAACACTGAACATCAGTCTGGTCTGTATGACTGTATAATACGAAAATACACAATTAATCCTTATGAACTAAAATTAAAATATTTCTTACTGGTACTTACCTTCAAAAGTAGGACATGCGCTGTACTTATAACAAAACGCTGATGTTGTTCTTAAGAATACTTTGAAAAAATAAAAAAATAACAGTTTAATTAGATACAAATTTTTATTATAAGATAGTTTAAGAGTATACGAGTATATTATAATTTAAAATATAATAATAATATATTATTTTGTAATTTGTGTAATTTGTGAGATTTATGTTTTATTGGTGTGGAATCAGTATAATAATTATCTACCTGTATCATTGTCAGGCTCATAATTAAAAACAAACGTTTTTAGTGGATCTGAAATGATTTGAATTATGTTCAAGTAAGTGTTTATTATTAGTTTGTAAATGCTATATTTTATATTTGCATTGTGATACGCAGTAATAAATATACATGGATTACAAAAGCATTAAAAATTCAATAATTATTATTATAAATTATTGACAAAAACCACTTACACTCATCAAGTAAGCCTCTTCTGAATTTATTATCTAATATATCATATAATATAAGATTTTAGTATACAATAGGTCATATAAATATATATTATTAAATCAGTCTTGTAGAGAATACTTTTATTTTGTATTCGCAATACATATTCTAATAAATGAGAAAGTATTAAGGTTTTCAGAATACATGTTTCAAAATATTAAATACGTAGTTCTTAAAAAAGTATATTCAGAATACATATTCGAATACTTTAAAAAATATATGAATACAGTTAGAATACTTTTTTTCACAACTAGTTTTTGTCAGTTTTTGAATGATTGGTAATTAACATCTATTAATTAATAATTACAAATTCATCGAAATCATAAGTTATCTATAAATGTTGACCACATATGATACGGCTAATACGGAATACAACACGTTGGTGTTTATAAAAATAATCATATAATTTAACAATATTAAATTTAGTTCAAAGAATAAAATTAATGTTCATGATTTATAATATGTCTTGTCACAAATTTAAAACTAATTTTCTAAATTTTTCTGGATGGGTATAAATTACAAATAATACGTATTTGAATACTTTACAAGACTGCACAAAAGTGTATGTAGGTATAAAATAAAACAACTGGGAGGAACATGAAAGGTTAGCGGTGCTTGTAATAATATTATTATGATGATTTGTAATATTTTAGTAATAATTATTTGGAGAGATGTATTGAAAATCTGTGTATCGTACTAATCACACCACGTAGAAAAAAACACTACACAAACATTAACTAGATATCTACATATAATTTACAGCCTCCGATAATAATTTTGGTGTAAAAAGAGTTTTTTACAACCACTTGTTAACTACATATATTTCTTCTTCTACTATTGTTAGTACTTTTTGATCGTTATATTACTAAGAAAGTATCAACAAGACTATAATTTATTATATACCATCTCATACTGAATTAATTCCCTCTTCCCTGATGCTGAATTATAATAATAAAGTATATACATTTATTATCAAATAATATAATGTAATACGTACTACATTTTTATAACTATGTGTTAGCCGGTAAGTAGTCATGAAAACTTACGCAATACATCTATTTGTGATTGAAACTCGTCTTGGTTCCCCTTCTGAAGGAAATCATTTACTATAAAATTGTATATTTTTATAAATTTCACTTTGTTACTGTTTTTATATTTTGTTATAATCAACTATACACAAGTGTAATAATTACGACATAAAAATAATACAATAATATTTTAAATACAAATTTAACATAATGTAATGTAGTATGACCATAATACTTTTTTAATCGAAATTAAACTACGTATTCTGTCTGTACAAGCAACTTTTTTACTCTACACTAAAACCTATAAATAGTATCAGCAATAAAAGTGGATTTAGATCAGCTATGGGAGACTTCGTAGTAGTCAAATATATACGTTATATGAACATATTATCTTCTATATATATAAAAATGAATGTATGTCAGTGTGTCAGTGTGTCTGTGTGTCTGTGTGTCCATGTTACCATGGTTACCAAGGTGGCCATGGTTACTAAGGTTACTAAAGATAGACTAGCTGATCCCGTGCACTATATTGATTAACCGGCTGTGTGACGGGGGAAAGCGACGCCAGTACACGGCGGTCTCTCAAACCTTTAGCCATCTTTACCGCGCCCGACTCGTCCGCGCCTTAACGGCGCAATCGTCATCCCTCGCTAAGAGGTGCGTCTGGGCGCCCGAGCGCCAGGCAGACGGCTCAGAGCATGCCTAATTCAAGGCATATTATGGGTATCGCCGAATGCGCCAGCGGCGGCAGGTTTTTAATCTACTCAAGCAAACCCCCTTCTACTGAAAGCGCTACTTCCACAACCTCCGAGGTTCCATCCACATAAGCCACGGACGCGCGACAGTCGCGCGTGCGAATGAGCAATCACTCGCTCGCCCGGCTGTCGGACGCGCGTGTCCTAGCTACCGGAGTGCTGTTTTTACGAGCAGGGCTCTCTCCGGTACCCGCGGAATAAGATTTCGGGCTCCATATCCCAGGTACTCACAACGACCTATTTCCCACAAGCACGATATCGGGGCGGGGATCCGCAGGATTTTCCGCCGCGATCCGCCTTTCTGTGCGGTACGGTTTACTGCGCGGGTGGCCGTTCCCGCACCGGGTAATTTCGCCCGGATTTTCGGTGACTGATAGTAGACGACTGGTTTCTGCCCACTACTAGCACCCGTTCGCTCGCATCTCCTGGATGCGGGCTCTCGATCGAGTTTTCAGTGAGAATGAACCGGCGTGTGATCGGAGGTCCGCGGACGGGTCGTGTATGAGGTACCCGCCCGCGGTTGCTTTTGCCCAATCCTTCCGTCTCATTCCCACTTTAACGTATTCATCGGTATGTCGCAAGGTTAATGGATCACTACCTTTTTATTCTCGTTGCGTCCCCATTTATCCTCACTCGGGTTTATTTATCTCGTGCGGACTAGAAGGGTTATCCCTCTTTCCCTCGGCCGCTGTACGTGGTACAGGGCCCCGAATTGGATTATTACTTCCAATTACGACTACCGAGCTAACCCTGCATCAGTGCGCCAGTGTATTCTTAGCGAATTCACTAACCGCCCGGAACATGGCCTCGGAGCTCGTCATGAACTCTTACTCACCCGGCCAGTCCGCACCGGCCGCTCGCACGGCGAGTTTGAGTTTTTCCTCCTTCCAGACTGCAAGTGGGCAATCCATAAGCAGATGCTCCGCAGTTCCGCTGTGGAAACCGCATGCGCAAGCTGCATCACCTACAAGGTTAAAGTCGTGGATTTTTGCTTCCGAGATCCTCGTGGCCGGACAGCAGCCGGGACGTGTAATGATCCATTCGGCACCACCCACGACCCACCCGGCGTCCGGCCCCGGGGAACCATCGCGCGGTCCACCTATCCTTGGGCTCGCGACCCACTTGCTCTGTCAGAGGAGTCCACTTTTTCGTCCGGGGTCCGAGTGGCCCGAGCCATCGCTGGTAATCGGTGGCGACACGGTGTCCCCTGCCGAAGCGGGGACAGCGTTCCGCCCAGGACGACACTCGGTCGTCGGGCCACTCAGCTCCGTCCGAGTTCTCATGAGCTCATCAAGCGGCGAGGCCCCGAAATCCGAGTCCCCACCTTCCAGACCGCAGTCTGTCGGGGTGCGTTCCTTACCTTGATTTAAGCTCATGAGTAGTCTCTTTTTAAAACCGGGTTCAACCAGTCCCCAGAGTCCACTTTTAACCGGATGGACGGCCCTCAGATACGCCCTTCGGAAGGCGCCGAGGTTGTAGCGGGATCAAGAGTTGATCCAGCGGCGGGCGGATGTGTCTATGTTCCGCCCGCCACCCACTCCGCCTACCAGCGGGGTGCACCGGCCGGGTTCTCAGAGCGCCCGGCCTGTTTGCTCGCCTGATGCCGTACCATCAGGCGGGCGGAATGTGGGCGCCCATGCATACGGACATATGCGGACACGCTTATTCCCCATTCTGATTTCGGGGTTAGGAATTCTGGTATTTCGCCAGGTTCGCTTACCCCGCGCCAGTGTAATTCGGGGGTAAAGGGCATATCCGTGCATGACTTGACGTCTGGACATGTAACGAGTGTCCCGTGTCTTTTGCCGGGAATTATTTAGCCCATAATTACCTCCCCCGAATTGCTTAGCCGATATTCTCAGTCCTAAAGACTGGGAGCTTTCAGAGTTATGCTCCGTCAGGGACTTATTTCCCGGTACATTCCATGCCGCTGCGCTGTCAGGTCAGCGGTTTGACTACTTAAGGCCTCATAAAGACTTTCGCGGGCGGTCCTACCCGGTCAATCGCAGTGTGGTTTTTGCATACGCTGATTACACTCTGGGTTCTTACATCAGAGTTTGTAGTGCGCATATGCTACTCGGCTGGTAATCGCGGCTTGTACCTAGCCGCGATAATTGCGATTTCCCTTCTGCGGTACCGCCTTTCCGCATCGGGGTATGGAGTGCATAGAATTACGCACCCTCCCCATCTCGGTTTTCCGGTCGGCCGGCGAGCGCCTGCGGGGAGGCCTGGTGGAACGGTGACAGTCGTTACCTTTTGCCCCTCGCAGACGGTCGCCAGTCCACCCGGCTTCACCATCGGGTTTGACTCTTTTTGTCGAACAATGGCCTCGGGGAGCCCAGCGGCCCGGCTTACGGCGTCCTCGCTTATTCATTTACTTTGGCTTCCACGATTAGACGCTATTCGGACCGCCTTTTTCCGCGAGGTCTTATCTCGCTGCTAGATGTAACCGTACGCGAGGCCGCCGATGTGTTTCGCCGGCCTCGTTACCAATAAATATTGGTATTTAAGGCTTATCGGTTTACAAATTGTATCTGACACCGCACGTTACTGCGGCGGTCCAATTTGGACTAATGCTTTCAAATAGAACTCTTTTCTCGGGCGACCACTCGGTCTTTTCGCCTCGGGTTGCAAGTAACTTACCGTACCGTTCTAAAGTCGTTCGAACGATATCGGCTTCATTTTTATGGCCGCCCTCGAACTCGAGCTCCTTCGTTCCTCGTTTGAGGGCGATTTTACAATTTCGCCCCCCACGGAGGACCTTGTTATATGCGCTCAAGGCACTCACTGCCGTCCGCAGTCGGAGGCCGCCGCCCACCGTTTGCCGCTCGAAAGCGGTTCGGTGTGCAAAATATTGGTATTAGGCCGCCCGATGCGAAATTGTCGGTTGGTCGGCGGAAACCGCCGCCATCTGACCCCTCCTCGACAATTTCCGGGGGCTTTAACGAATAAACTTCATATTTACGAGAACATGAGACCCGCAGACTCTCGGCAAGACGGGGGACGGTCGGACCCCAATCACGCGGCACTGCCGCGAGCCAGTCTCCCGGCCCGATACCAGTCTTCCGGCCGGCATCATGCCCTCAGCGCGTTGCGGTTACAGAAAATCCGTACTCCACAGAAGCAGTCTCGTCGAGATTTTATGATTTCGCATGTGTTCGACCGGTGGCCCTCGGGCCGGACTCCGTCCGCGGCAGGTCCATCCCGGACGGTGACGGGATATTCCTGGTACGCGCGGACTGGGCTGTCCACTCCGCGCGGGCCCGGTCTTATTTTACAGTGCTGTGCCGAGTCCCTCCGTCCTTGGGCCTGGACCGAGGGTACAGTTTCCCGGGAGCGCCTTCAAGCCCGTGCACTATATATAAAAATGAATGTATGTCAGTGTGTGTGTGTGTGTCCATATTACCATGGCAACCATAAATATATTTTTTTGAGATTTCCGTCCATATTATCATGGCAACCAATTATATATTATTTTGAATTTTCCGATGGAATGTTTTGTATAGAAACGGTTGCCATGGTGATATGTAAAACATATTATTCATATAGAGTTGACAATTTTAATGGGCAATTTAGTGCAAGGGATCAAATATTTTTATACATATAGATAGATTAAGACCTCTGGGCAGAAGATCGGCTGATTTAAAAAGGGAGAGGACCAACACCGGGACGTGCTCAAACAGGAATTTTGAGATTTCTGATGGAAATTTTTGTTTATTTATATGGTTGCAGTGGGTTTCAAAGCTATAATATTAATAATAATTTGTTTAAAATTGTTGTTATGGTAACCGTTATATTATAAAAAAAAACATATTATTCATATAGCGTTGGTATTTTTAATGGGCAACGAAGTGCACGGGATCAGCTAGTAATTGATATAAAAGTGACTGAAACATATCTTTTTGAAATACTTTTTTACTGTTTTTATATTTTGTTATAATTAACTATACACTAGTGTAATAATTACGACATAAAAATCATACAATAATATTTTAAGTATGAATGAAGCATGGAGCAATGTAGTAGAACCATCAGTTTTCTCCTCGCAATTAAACTATTAATCATTTCTGTACAAGACGCTTAATATTCTACACTAAAACCAATAAATGATATTAACAATACAGTGGATTCAGAGCAGTTATGGGAGCACAAAAATACACAAAAATGTTGTAAGAACTGAAATTTATAAATATTATTATAATGTCGAAGGCATCCAATTAAAGTTCCAATCGATCTCTTGAGAAGATGATCAGAAACGTTATTATTTTTACAGCGTTAAAATCAAACCATCTAAAGTATCACAATCTTCTTTCAGCATAGGGTCTAAAAACGATTTTTTTATTGACCGACTGGAAACCACCTTATTCATCTGTTTTACTTCATAATATTACAGATTAAATAGCCACAGTACACGTTATTAAATATTAAAATATAACACTCTAAATAACTAGACATTTATACTTACTGAATTCTCTTCTAAAACTATCAAGTGATTTATCGTGTCGAAACTGTCTATCTATAAATATATAAATCTCAGTTTATTATTTTTATTTTGTATTTTGGATGAGAATAGGTGACTTAGGCCCTCTTAACAACCACTACATCTCTCCATTATTCTCTATCATTAGCTAGCTCTTGGTCAATTATTACTCCTACACTTTTTAGGTCACTCTTAACTCTGTCTATACATCTTTGTCTCGGCTTTAATAATAGCCTCTTTCCATTGGATATCCATTTTGTTACCCCTCGAGTTATCTGATCTTGTGCCCCTTCATATGTTTTCTGCCCAGCTAATACGCTTACTTTTCAGTGTAACTACTAAGTATTTTCTGATATTGTAACAACAATCTTGAGATTCACGGTGGAAAAAGAAACTTTTTTTTTTGTTTTATAAATGGCTGCAATTTTATAATAAAAGTAATAGTTGAAATTAGCATTATTTTTTGTGTATTTAACTGTTTGCGATTGGTTACTCGTAGGATCATGTAAAAGTTTAATTAGAAATCTCATAGTTTAAAATGAAGAAACTATATCATAAAACCAAAGTATGTGTGTGGATTAACACTCAAAAACTAATCAATTGAATTACATGAAAATAACAGAGCTAAATCCAATCCCCGACTTTATGTTGCCCATCTAGGTAAAATTTTACCTGGTACAATGCCGCATATTAAGTGAACGAAAGGGCTGGGTGAGCATATTCTGAGGGATCCAAGTGAACCGTGGGTACGGGACCCACAAGGAGTCTATAATTGAACTAAGTCCATCGAGTAAGGTACAAGGAGTAAATGCGAGTGGTTGGGCAGAAACTCCATCATTGTATTTTAGACTCTCGAACAATTTTGTATTTATCACGCATGTAACTTATAAGTGATTAAATTAATATTCTAACAAATAAATAAGAATTAATACGATTATCCGGGTCCTGTGAGTACATTATTTCACGTATCATGCCAATGTCGATTTCAGTACGGTGATTTAACACACTTTCCCACTAATCAAATGACATAATATATCAACTACAATAATAACTATGTAACAGGAGATAGGTATGATTTTACATTGTAACCATTTATTGATCGCTCAACCTATCATTAATACATATTTCATAATACTATTAGAGCGTTTTTTTATTTGTACCTATTACCTATTGTAATATATTTTATCATCTATATGTAAGCGCATTATACATTATATAAATTTAAATATAACACTAGATACAAGTAACTGTTAATGTATACCTACTGTCAACAGTTGGTACAATTTCATCTTTTTTATTCTTTACGGTATCGATCGAATATGATTGATCTATAAAAGGATAAATTATATTTCAAGTAAATATATCTCAGTTTAACTCAATATCTCCTAGTAGTGATATATACATATTGACAGGTGGACTACCACTTATTTTTTGAAGTTACTCAAAATCAATTTTGAGAATATATTTGTGTTCTCAAAAATATTACTAATATTGAAAATTGAGATCCCATCCGGATCTCGTTTAGAGCCACATTTATCAGTATTTTCTATTTGGATTTAAAATATACAGCTTTTCCACTTTCTGATCGTATAACATGCTTGCAGATATCATTATTAGTTTTTTTTTTTTAAATTTTTATTCAAATCGTCAAAAATGTTTCCAAGTAAATATATGAAAAAAAAAGTGGCTTACGCGGGAGTAAACTAGTGAGAGGCAAAAAAGGGCTCATGGTGGTCAACCTGTTAAGTCAGTGGCAACACAAAACTGCTTATAATTATTGATGTTATTTTGAATAGTCGACTCCCATGAGTAATACATATTATACAATATTCTATCAAATCCGCATTGAACGATTCACTTATTGTAGATACTAAAAATATTATCATACACATCATGTTCAAATATACTAATAAAGGTTCATAAAATAATTACAAAATAGAAATTAAACAATAGGAATAAATTTTGTACAAACCAGCTTTCTATTGTAGACTAATATATGTATATTTAACAATTCTAATAGTTACAATATCTTGGCTTATAAGTATTCATTTACATTAGAACAAACTAATAATCGCTTTACGTATTATCATTAATATCAACATAATACGTAAATGAATACATATAAATCGGTATTTGTACTACATATTTCAATTTTCAATACATTTAACCATCAACAATCAATATATGCATAATACAATATTTTGATATAACATTATAAATACTTACTACACCTATTGTATACTTACAGAATTTGGTCAATACCTTTTGAAATGGATCAGTGTTAAGTTCGTACAAATCTATGAATAAATAATTTATATTATACAATACACAGATGTCAATCTAAGATTGTTACTGTTTTTTTATTTCATTCTAATCAACTTCATACACTTTTGAACGCAATTACAACATAAAGATATATAAAATTTAACCTGGTGCAATGGAGATTACCACTCAGTTTTCCGTACTTAATGGATCAAATATCTAACCAAAATATTATGCTCTAATTATGAAGTGTAAATATCACAATGGCTTTCATATTTCTAGATAAGTCAATGACATGTTTTATCATGTCGAATCTCAAAAAAGAGTTTTGAAAATTATATGGACGGTCAGTCAAAGGACAATAGACAAGAATTTGAAAAAAAATCCAAGAATAGGTACTATTAGTTTCTTAAAAAAGTACAGAATATGTTTGCGTACCTTTATATGTTATAATTGTTTGTATAGACTATTTATGAAATACAAAAAACAAGTAGCAAACGTCCAGGATAATTGTATACTATTCTTCTTTTGAACCAACTCTTCATATCTTTTATGTTATTAAGTTTGTTCATTGTCTTTGTATCGAGGGCAATAAGTGCAATCAGTTGGACGAGAGTGATATCTGTAAAATACCTTCACGGTGGACAGACAGACACAGCTAGCACTTACAGTTTTCTAATAAAGTTAGTCATAATAAATTATTGCTTTTTTATTATTTAAAAAAATGAACGTACCTGGTATTGCTCTTATAAGTCCATTTTCAAACATTTGCCCTATAAAGTTTTCGATTATAAATAACAGCAAAATAAATCTTTATAAAAACAATCCATCTGTACATCTGTGTCATGTACTAAGATATACAGTACTGGAAAGCATTATCAATGAAACCAGTGTACAACCATAGAACAATATAGAAACGAAACTCGATCAGCTGATTTCGGTCATGGTTACCTATCTATGATCTGAAATCTAAACATACGGAAAACACGAAAACGGTTCCACGCACCAACATGATGTTAGACCCAAGGTTATCAATATTATGAAAACGGTTCCAAGAATATGGCTTGTTTACCATGTCATATTTCACGTATGCCACGCTGCCCTGATAACCGTGTTCAATGCCGCAAACGTATGATTCGGTCAACGCACATAGTTTCGTACCCCTGGTACAATTCTAGTTGGTACAACTTCGATATAAACGCCATCTAGGTACATAATTGCATTACATAATAATACTTGTTATTCTATGACCGTGCTTGTAATGGTAATAATATATTATTTAATAGTTAAATTATTAAATTTTAATTATTATTTATTGTACCTACTAATATATTATACAAATTCAAGAAACGAAATTAGATACAAGATGTGTTTGCTCCGCAAACAATTCAAGTATTTTCATTTTTCGAGGTGGGAGCAATAGCAGTAATCAGCTTTCTGTTCGGTATGTGTGTGTGTGTGTGTGTGTCTTAAACGTGACGACCAGTCGGGGAACGCGTGCGTTGTCTCACCGTCAGCTTGTGATAGCGATGCGCCGTTAACTAACTGATAGTGGGCAATGTGCGTATTCAAGGGACTACGTAGTACGATATAATAGAATGGAAACGACAAGATGGGCGATTGACGGGGGACGGCCCGCAAAAGGTTCCTCTGTGGCTCGGTTATCATCAACACTCATAATCGAATGTTTTCAGCGCTACCTATAATAACTATATTAACTATAACTATATTATAACATTCCTATAATAACTATATTCGTATACTTAAAACAAGTAAAAATTGTCCAATTTGTTTAGTTCTCCGAATAATAATTTTAAAATATCAGACATAAATACAGTTATGTTCATAGAATAACGAATATATGGTATATTTTATTTTGTTGAATGCAGTTACGGATCTTCATTATAACTCACTGAATCGATTGAATTTGAAATTGACAATCAATTATAACTATATACATTGTATACATTTATATTCATCATTATATCATAAATGCACCATAAATAATGGCATCTAATAAGCACTGATGGCTCTGACATAATATAATTTTGTCTCCGTCTTAGGTATACACGCATAGGTAATTTACTAAAATATATGACCAGAAGTTACAAATTTATACTGTCATCTTAAATATTATAGAGAATTGATCTATAGTCAAACATAACCTAAAAACATTATGTGTTGGTTATTATCTCGTTGGTTTTTTACGATATTTTAATTTTCAAGTGAATTATATATGAACATTTACAAATATAATATTTTACATTATACTCATCACTCACTTAAAAAATTTGATTATAGTAAAAAACCAACAAGTGAACACAGTAAATATTTTTACATTTAAGTTTGATAATAGGTCAAATCACTCTTATCAAATATATAGTCACACGCACTAATTTGAACTGCTGGACGTAAGTTTTGATGTATTATTATGCATTAGTAAGACTTAGAAATCACAAGCCAGTACGAAGTCCTCTCAAGTAATACCTGATCAATTAACATATTCAACTATATACTTGAATTTTATGTAATAATGTATTTTTCATATTATTTTAAAATCAAAATTATAGACTAACACACTTTTATAATAAATACTGTAAAAATGTGATTACTTTGAGTGAAACTCAAGGTATTTATAAAAGAAATATGTTGTTAAGTCAAATCAAATTACTTACTATAGCAGGTGACTGCAAGTTCAAATTCTAAAAAATGTAAATAGTATGTAAAAATGTATAAGGTATTTTACGAACAAAACGACGGCAAGATAGTTGACATCGAAGAGAAAGTCACAATCGCTTACAAACCTACATGTGTTGTAGTACACTATACCTCATGTGTTTTTATCATAACAATTCTTTTCATTATTTATATAGTTATTAATTAGCCTAATTACTCACTTTAAAGTTAAAATATCAATATAATATAGGCATTTGTTGAAGAATAATATTCTTTATAATTAAAAACAGAAAAATTGTTCTGTAGAACATAAATTTTCTAGTAAAATATATCTACGTTTGTAACAAAAGGGGGTCTCATGTGGCTATGGCAAAGGTACTTGTGATAAGATAATAGTCTTACTAAAACTAACCTACAAAGTTAATCATATATACTCTTATGTAATATACTGTAGCTCTGTACTTCCATATACTATAACATGTGTACACTAATAATTATGTTTATTAAAGCCTACTTTACTAAGGTTCTCTCGTCTAATTATTATACAACAATTTAATAAACATAATTATTCTTTCAATGGAAAAGTTACTGCGCCCTGATCGTTTCGAGACTGATCCTAATTCCCCAACATCAGCAAAAGAATGCGCTCACTGGATCACAACATTCAATAATTTTGTCGAAGTAGCAAAAGTAAAGGAGGAAGACAAACTCAAGGTACTCACTAACTTTTTAGGACACTCAGTATATGACAGTGTCAGCGAATGTACAACGTACGGAGCAGCTATCAAAATATTGACTGATATCTACATCAAACAAAAAAATGAGATCTTTGCTCGGCATTTGTTAGCCACAAGAAAACAGCAAATGAATGAATCTATTGATCCATACCTTGGATTTTTAAAAATCTTATCTAAGGAATGTGCTTTTAAATCCGTTTCGGCCATCGAATACAGAGATGAATATATTCGAGATTCTTTTATCAATGGTCTTTTGTCTAACAATATTCGTCAACGCTTATTGGAGAACAACACATTGAAATTAGAGGAAGCTGTAACTCGGTCTCGGGCATTGGAAATGGCTCAAAAGCAATCTGAAGTGTATAGCATGCCTCTGACTCAAGGATCTGTGAACGCTCTAACCAAGGATACTACTTCAATGATCAAACCTGATAATAATCATCCAACAGTATCAGCGATACAACAAAAATGTTACTTTTGTGGCTATGACAAACATCCTCGCAGCTCTTGCCCAGCCAGAGATGCTGTATGTAAAAAATGTGACAAGAAGGGACACTTTTTGAAGGTATGTAGATCAAAAACAAAATCCGATAGCGCATTTGTGTCCATGGCTACTCTAGCTTGTGTAACTGCAACTGTACCAGGTCTCTTGTCTAAAGCTATTATGAGAGTAAAAGTAAACAACATTGATGCAAATACTCTTATTGATACTGGTAGCTCTAATAGTTTTATTAATGAAGAATTTGTCCAAATTCACAAAATAAAATCATATCCAGAAAACGGACAGGTACTTCTGGCGACAACTACCTATTCATCAAACCTAAAAGGTTATGTTCTTGTTGACTTACTGTTACAAGAACACACTTACAAAAATCTCAAACTATCTATACTCCCTAAATTATGCTCAGATATTTTAATAGGTCATGATGTACTAAGAACTCACTCTAGTATTGACCTTACATTCGGGGGACCAAAACCACCATTATCAATTTGTAATATGACTTTTGTAAATATAGAGCCACCTCGACTCTTCAATAATGTTGTTAAAGACTGTAAGCCAGTAGCAGTTAAGTCACGTCGCTATTCGGATGAAGATGCTAAATTTATAAGGGAGGAGGTCACTAAATTATTGTACGATAATATAATTGAAGAAAGTACTTCACCCTGGCGAGCTCAGGTTTTAATCACTAAAAGTGAAAATCATAAAAGGCGCATGGTTATAGATTACTCACAGACAATAAACAAATTCACTCTAATGGACGCTTTTCCCTTACCCAATATCGATGAACTAGTCTCTAAGGTCGCGCAGCATACCATCTACAGTACCATAGACCTGCGCAGTGCTTACCACCAGATCCCCATACACGAAGATGAACGTCAATATACAGCATTTGAAGCAGGAGGTCGATTGTACCAATTCAGAAAAATTCCATTTGGTGTAACTAATGGAGTGGCCTGTTTTCAGAGAGTAATAGATACTATAATATCCCAAGAAAATCTTGATGGAGTCTATGCGTACCTCGATGACATAACTATTTGTGGAAATAATCAAACTGAACATGATTTAAACTTAAACAAGTTTCTTACTATAATAAAGAAATATGGACTCATATTGAATGAGGACAAATGTCAGTTCTCGAAGTGTGAAATCTCACTACTTGGTCACCACATTAGCAACAAGCGTATAAGTCCAGACCCTGAAAGATTAAAACCACTGTTGAATCTACCACAACCTAAGGATGCCTCATCATTGAAACGAGTACTAGGTATGTTCTCCCATTACTCTAAATGGATTCAAGGTTTCTCTGACAAAATCCGCAGTTTGGTAGACTGCAAATCATTCCCTATGTCACCTATAGCAGCAGCTGATTTTGAACGCATAAAACAGGATATTGCTAAATCAGTGGTAAATTCAATTAATAGTGAAGAATTGCTGGTAGTGGAGAGTGCATCTGATTTTGCTCTAGCCGCAACTCTAAGTCAGAGTGGTCGGCCTGTGGCATTTTTCTCAAGGAGTCTCACTGAAGGTGAAAAAAGACACCCATCTGTAGAAAAGGAAGCATATGCAATCGTAGAGGCTGTGAGAAAGTGGAGGCACTTTCTTATTGGAAGACATTTCAAGCTAATAACAGATCAGGAAGCGGTCTCGTTTATGTTCAATCTAAAACATTCCAGCAAGATAAAAAGTGACAAGATAAGAAGATGGCGACTTGAGCTCTCATCTTTCAGTTACGACATAGTATACCGCCCTGGTAAGGAAAATACGGTAGCGGATGCTTTCTCAAGAGTCTGTGCAAACATTAATAATCCAAGTAAGCTTTTTGACCTTCACAAAGCATTATGTCACCCTGGTATGACTAGAATGTACCATTGGACTAGAAGTAAGAATCTACCATTTACTCTTGTTGATATTAAAAGGGTAACCACAACTTGTCCTATATGCGCTGAAGTTAAACCCAAATTCTTTAAACAGAAGGGAAACCATCTTATCAAAGCTACTTTGCCTTTTGAACGGTTGAATATAGATTTTAAAGGCCCACTACCCTCTAATACAAGCAATCATTATATCCTTACAATAGTAGATGAATATTCTCGCTTCCAATTTGCAGTTCCATGCCGGGACATTAGTTCAACTACTGTGATAAATAGTTTGTGGCAGTTATTCTCCATATTTGGTATGCCGGCTTACATTCATTCTGATCGCGGTTCATCTTTTATGTCACAAGAACTCAAAACTTTTTTGCACAACCATGGAATAGCCACCAGTCGTACGACACCTTACAATCCGGAGGGAAACGGACAAGCAGAACGATATAATGGGATTATTTGGAAAGCCGTCCAATTGGCCCAGCAAACACAAAGACTTAAAATAACTCAGTGGGAAGAAGTGCTAACAGATGCCCTACATTCTATAAGATCTCTGCTTTGTGCCTTTGTACAGCTATAAACTGTACTCCACATGAACGCTTCTTCCATTATCCTCGTCGTTCTTCAAATGGGAAAACTCTCCCTTCATGGCTTAACTGCCCTGGTCCAGTACTCATCAGAAAACATGTAAAATCATCAAAGTACGATCCACTGGTGGAAGAAGCTGAATTGATAGAGGCTAATCCCGAGTATGCTTTGGTGCGTTATAACAATGGACGTGAATCTACAGTGTCTCTGAAAGACCTGGCACCTCCAGGGGATAGAGGTCTGTTGGGAGAAAAGAGAGACAGAGAACATAGTATTAAACCATCAAGCGTAGAAGCTCCTGCATACGATTGTGGTCAAGAGAATAAAGATATTGTTATTGAAGAACCTACCCAGATGAATGAAGGGCTAAGCAAGACATTAAGTGATGTTGAAGAACCTAGAAGGTCTACAAGAACCAAAAATAAACCAAAGTATTTAGAAGATTATAAAACTAATTAATTAATTATTTATTTGTATTTGTAATTATTTATTTTATTGTTATTTGTTACCTAATAGTTAATTATTATTTGTAGGGGAGAATGTGATAAGATAATAGTCTTACTAAAACTAACCTACAAAGTTAATCATATATACTCTTATGTAATATACTGTAGCTCTGTACTTCCATAGACTATAACATGTGTACACTAATAATTATGTTTATTAAAGCCTACTTTACTAAGGTTCTCTCGTCTAATTATTATACAACAGTACTACTAATAATTAAAATGATATTGATAATTGTTCTAAACGAGATATATCACAATACTATGTAATAGGTACTTTTATATATTAGTAAGATAATAAATTACATATTTAAACAAATTGAAAACAATATGTCTACTATAATGCCTAATGGTCAAAAGCGATTAGCCATGAACTCATAGCTTCTAGCTGCCAATTTTAATTTTAATTTGAGAGTAGAAAAAAAAATAAGCATAATATTGGGCAAATTTATAGATTCTAAAATTTTTTTCTGTTGGAAATATAACGTAATAAGAAATATCGATATATTTCATAATATGTATTGATTACTCTTTTATTAAAGTAACACTAAATCAATGAATTCAAATTGTAATTATCTGTTTTCAGATTCTTCGTATATATGAATAAAAGAATTTCAAAGGATTCGTCTTGGTATGTAATAATTATAAAAAAAAAAAAATATATACAATATACTCACGTAGCTTACGATTAATATCGTCTAATGAATCTATATTATATTTTCAATATTTCATACTTTTAATAATTAATATAACATTTCTAATTTTTATAAGTGAGAAAATATTAGATAACTATGTAATAATTTATTTACTATTAAGATAATAAAGTACATATTTCAACCTAATGAATAAAATTAGTCTACTTTAATGCCTAATGGTCATAAGACAGAATTCATAGTTAATAGCTGGCGCCGTGAAATGTAAATCTTTATCTACTTATAGAGCACTGGTGGTGAACCTTTTTTGGGTCAAGTGAGAAATTTTTCTAATCAAGGTTTGAAAATTGTTCACGTGTCCAAAGGAAATTATATTTCCTATAAGCATAAAAATAAAGTTAAGGATTTTTGTCAAATTTTTTCCGTCGTCCGTCGGTTTAAACGTGTCACGTATGTATGGCTGTTATCATACATATCATATTATAACGAAAATGTTATCCATATATTATAAATAGCATAATTGTTTATAATTTTAATTTTTCACGCGCTATTGAAATTTGATCAACGTGGCATCTTTGACACGTGTTATTTATTTATTTATTTATTAATACGGACGAAAGTTCAATTCACAATATATTTGTATAGATAACAATAATATAATATAATTAAAAATAATAAAATATAACATAATAAAAGATGAAACGTTTAATATATAGAATAATAGTAATAATAATTAATAATAATAATAATAATAATAATAATAATAATAATAATAATAATAATAATGGTTATAATAATAACAATAATAATAATAATAATAATAATAATAAAAATGATTATAATAGTAATAATATTTCTTAGTAATACTATTTCCGGAAGACATTAAAATATTTATGGGGTCGTATGACGTATACTTTTTAGATGAATGAGGAATATAAAATAAATGATTGTTGAGAGTGTAGATAGTGGTTTTTGACTTTGAAATTTAATTTCCTTAATAAAAATGAATCATCAGTCTTGTTATTTAGCAATTTGGTGAGAAAAGTGTTGTATGATAAGTGTCTACGTAAATTTAAAGGTTCTAAGTTTAACAATTTTAAAATATTTTCTTAACCAAAGTAAGCAGTTCTTTGAATATTACATTTATGAGTTATGACCTATAAACCTGAGAGATTTATTTTGAACTTTTTCAAGTTGATCATTATGTCCTACATTGTTGTGGTCAAAAATTAATGGAGCGTATTCTAATAAACTAGTAAGGTTATAGAGAATAAAATAAGCATAATATTCTGCAGGTTTATAGATTTTGAAGTTTTTCTGTTAGAAATCTAATGTAATAAGAAATCTTTTTATTTTTTTCATAATGTGTGCCGATTATTATTTTATTAAAATAACAATAATTATTACATTTTTCTCCGGGCAATTCACGGTGTCCGGAAAACAAGTGCCGCCATCCCCCACTCCGGGCATGGCAGAAACCTACGGGTGTCCCATTCGAAATTCTGCCAAAAATACACCCACGTGTAACACTCACCTACCGTTAAAAACCTACAGTACCAACCCCCCTCCCAATGGCCTAAGTTGCCGCGGGATAATTAATAAAAAAAAAAAAAAAATTATTATTAATAAGTGATCTGTCATACTACTTACCTTCAAGAGTAGGACATACGCTGTATTTATAACAAAACCTTTTTGTTGTTCTTAAGAATACTTTGAAAAAAAAAAAATTACAGTTTAATTTAATATAATTTTTTATTTTTTGATGAAGATAATTATAGTACCTACCGTATCAAAGTTTAATAGTAGGTATACGAGTATATTATAATTTAAAATATAATAATAATAAATTATTTTATAACGTGTGAGATTTATGTTTTATTGGTTTGTAACAAATTTAATAATTATATACCTGTATCACTGTCAGGATCATAACGAAGAACAAACGTTATCAGTGGATCTGAAATTTTTTGAATTATGTTCACGTAAGTGTTTAATGTTAGTTTATAAATGCTACATTTTATATTTCCATAGACACCTGCACAATAACGCAGTAATAAATATACATGGATTATAATTTCACTAAACATTCAATAATTATTATTATATATCATTGACAAAAACCACTTACTATCATTAAGTTCACCTCTTTGGAATTTAAAAACTAATATATCATATAATATAAGATTTTAGTATACACTAGGTCATATAAATATAATATATTATTAAATCAGTCTTTTAAAGAATACTTTTATTTTTTATTTGGAATACATATTCTAATAAATGAGAACGAATCAAGGTATTCAGAATATGTATTCGAATAGTGCTTAAAAAATATATCCAGAAAACATATTCAAGTACTTTAGAAAGTATATAGATATTCAGTTAGAAGACTTTTTTTAACAACTTGTTTTCGTCAGTTTTTTAATGGTTGTTAATTACCAATTAATCAATAACTGATTAATTAATAATTAAAACTTCATCGTAATCATAAGTTATCTATAAATGTTGACCACACATGGTACGACCAATACGGCTCGAGCCGTACGAGATACGTTGGTGCTTATAAAAATAATCATATAATTGGCCAATATTATAGTTCGTTTAAAGAATAAAGTTAATGTTCGTGTTTATATTATGTCTTGTCACAAATTTAAAACTACTTTTTCTGGATTTTTCTGGATGAATAAAAAATACAAGTAATACTTATTTGAATACTTTAAAAAAAAAAAGGATTTAAAATAGTATTCGAATACAAAAAAAAAGTATTCAAATACTTTTTTTCCAATACTTTACAAGACTGCACAAAAGTATACTTTAAAACAGGTATAAAATAAAACAACTGGGAGGAACATGAAAGGTTAGCGGTGCTCGTAATAATATTATTAAGATGATTTGTAATATTTTAGTAATAATTTGGAGAGATGTATTAAAAATCTGTGTATCGTACTAATCACACCACATATGAAGAAAATGGCACAATATTTACAATTATTATCAAATAATAAAATGTAATACTATATTATTATAACTATGTGATAGACGTGTAAGTCATGCAAACTTACTCAACGTAGATATTTGGGCTTGAAACTGCTCCCTGTCCCCCTTCTGAAGGAAATCATTGACTATAAAAGTACATATTTTTTATATATTTCACTTTGTTACTGTTTTTATATTTCAAAATAATCATCTGCACACAATTGTAATAATTACCACATAAAAATCATAAAAGAATATTTTAACTATTAATTAAGCATGGAGCAATGTAGTAGGACAATCAGTTTTCTCCATGAAATTGAACTATAAATCATTTCTGTACAAGACGCTTAATATTCTACACTAAAACCAATAAATGGTATTAACAATACAGTGGATTCAGAGCAGCTATGGGAGCACAGAAATAAACAAAAATGTTGTAAAAACTGAAATTTATAAATATTATTATATTGTCAAAAGCTTAAACTTTAAGAAATACTCCGACCGTTCTCTTGAGGAGAATTATTTATTCGTATGGCTTAACAAATCATCATTTACAGCAATATTAAACAATAAAATAAAATATAACATAAATATAAAAACATAATTAAATTAAATTTAGATTCAATGATTAAGGTTTTATAAATATATAATGTAATATAATGATGCGTAACAGTTTTTTGAGATGTTCATAAACGTTATTATTTTTCCAGCGTTAAAATCATACAATCTAAAGTCTTACAATTTTTTCTCAGCATAGGGTCTAAAAACGATTTTTTATTGACCGACTGGAAACCACCTTAATCATCTATATAACTTTATAATATTACAGATTCAATAGCCACAGTACACGTTATTAAATATTAAAATATAACACTATTAATAACTAGACATGTATACTTACGGAATTCTCTTCTAAAACTATCAAGTACTTTATCGCTTTGAAACTGTCTATCTATGAAAATATAAATTATATTAAATATAAATCTTAGTTTATTATTTTTTTATTTTTTATTTTGGCTGAGTATAGGCGATTTAGGCCCTTCGCCGCAACCACTAAATCTCTCCATTCGTCCCTATCATTAGCTACCTCTTGGTCAGTTATTGCTCCTAGAATTTTTAGGTCACTCTTAACTCTGTCTATTCATCTTTTTCTTGGCCTTAATAATAGCCTCTTTCCATTGGATATCCATTTTGTTACCACTCAAGTTATCTGGTCTTGTGCTCCTCATATGTGTTCTGCCCAGATAATATGATTGCTTTTCAGTGTAACTACTAAATGGGCGTATCATTACTCTGTACAATATAGTTTTGTTTTAAAGGAAAC